CCAGACTATGCACTCTGAAGAATGTCCCAGACTATGCACTCTGAAGAATGTCCCAGACTATGCACTCTGAAGAATGTCCCAGACTATGCACTCTGAAGAGCCAAACTGTCAAAGTAAAAGTAAAAAGTAATCGTGCGGGTTCAACGCCCCTGTCAACAATTTTCTGTTGTTTACGAGGCGAGACCTCCGAATTTATCGTCCGGCCAAATAGGTTGAGAGCCTTGAAAACCCCACAAAATCACCCGAGTTCATGAACGTCTGGTGTAGGGTTCGAACCAGGGTCATCCGCTATGTGGTCCAGAATGACACCAATACCTGAGCAAACAGAGTGCTCAGCCAAACTGTTAGTTTCGCACATTTTGCATCGGAGATGGACGTTAAATTAGCATTGGGATAGAAGCGATTTAGACTGTAGTTAAACACGGTTTATTTAAACATCATTTTTAAAAAATCCGTTTTATGTTTTACCAATTGGTTTTTGGCCTTCTCGTCCTTGTGGTGACTGCGGTGTCCAGAAAGTTGGCTATTGTTTTTGTTTTGTTTTGTTTACTTTTCTGTTTGTTTGTTCGTTTGTTGTTGTTGTTGTTGTTGTTGTTGTGGTCGTAATTCGATCAGGGTGACGGGAAAAGATTAGAATAATAAAAGTAGTTGGTTTTTTGTTTGTTTTTGTTGTTGTTTTCTTGTGTGTTTTTTTGTTTGTTTGTTTTTTGTTTGTTTGTTGTTGTTGTTGTTTTGTTGTGGGGTTTTTTAGGGGGGGTTAGAGCATTGGAGCAAATGAATGAATGATGAACCGTGATCGCCAATGTCTGTCGCTGATGTGGCGCTTGATGAAGATGAACTTGATCTGGTCGGAGACCTTAACATCTTTGTGTGTATGTGTACTTTATGTGTGTGTGTGTCTGTATGTGTGTTTGTGTGTGTGTGTGTGTGTGTGTGTGTGTGTGTGTGTGTCTGTATGTCTGTGTGTGTGTTTGTGTGTGTGTATCTGTGTGCGTTTACGTGTGTGTGAATGTGAACATGTGTGTGAATGTGTGTATGTGTGTGTGTGTGTGTGTGTGTGTGTGCATGTGTGTGTGTGTAAGTATGTATGTGTGTACGTGTGTAAGTGTAAATGTGTAATGTTCCTCATTTCCTTACAATGCTCAGGAATCCAATCATCTAAAAGATGCCGCACGCCCTAGAGCAGCGCGAACGTGACAAGGAAGAGAATATTACATTGTATAAGAATATGAGAAAAATAAACGATAACACTGAAAAGTGAACGATGACAAAGAAAAGCAAACGATAACAAAGAATACTAAACGATAACAAAGAAAAGTAAACGATGATAACAATCAGTGGGAAGTGCGCCACTTTGATCCCGTGTTGCGTTACCCCCTA